TTGCGCTGCTCATTGCCAAATACTTAGTATGTTTCCAACCCCCCGCCGGACACCCCTAAACTGTATTATTTTATAAATATACTTACGTTATTTTATAAAAGTTGAAGTCTCTGAATAATATTATATATATATATATATATATATATATATATATATTTAATTTTTAATTTAAGAGAAGAGTTAAAAGCTCTTTTGAGGTTCGTAAAATTCATAATCTTTTGCTATTTTCGCAAATATATAGGTACATATTTCAAACATTATTCCTAACTTCGAATTTATATTAATTATGTACAAAAACATATTGATGTACGAAATACGCTTCGGTAATTAGCAATGCAAAGAGAAATTTAAATGCACATTTAATGTTATGTCGTAAACGAATATTTCTGCACTTCCCAAAGTTTAACTGATAGAGCATGCTCTATCATCTGTCTCACCTTTTGGACCATATCTTATTGGTTAATAAAGTACATAATAAATAAACAAATGCGTTATAGCCATATTTTAAAATTTTTAAGCGTAGCAAGTAAATAAATCATAGCATCATAGACAGAAATCAGGTCTGATATTTTCTCATTGACTGACATATTGCGAATGTCAAAGTGAGGATAGAAAAATGTAACGAAATATGTTCTATTATCATCGGAACCCTGGTATTTGATGGACGGCTGGCAAGATAGATCGTATAAATAAATATGCGTAATATGCATATATACACTGATTTATATGATTCCCTTTTTCCAGGTAACAAGATTAAAGATTTCAGACTAAGATAATACACAGATGACTTTATGAAATGAATTGAAATTGTTTATTGATCGACAAACAGAAAATACAATTATAAAGATAATGCGCATATATATACACTATAATAAAAATGTGACACGGTGAACCTACCTTTGTATCTGTCTGTGCGTTAAGATTTCATATAGAAATGGTAAGAAAAATTAGGATTAAAATATCAGAGAATATGTTGTCACATATAGGTCAATCCGCGACTTTACGAGTATATATTATAATTTAATTTACTATCAAAATTACACGTGGGACTGTTTAAATTCTTTACTTAATTTATACATTTACTTTGTACCCATTTATTTATACTATACCCATTTCTGTTTGCATTTATCGTATTCAAATAACATCTTTGATACCATGTTATCGACGGCATTCTGTAGTTGTATATTTCTTTTAAATAAATTAATAAAATTATTATTATAAAGTTTTAAATAACCGACGGCCTCGGTGATCTAGCAGACCACCTTACTTCCGATAGTCGCGGGTTCGATTGCTCGCACGACACAAACATTTGTATTAACAAGTATAATTGTTTGTATCGGTTTGGGTATTTTCTATGTATAGTAACAGTAGATATATAACTATTTACAAAAAATATATATATCCATGTATTTGTTACCGTTTGTTACAGTTATCTAGTACCCATAACACAAGTTTATCTAGCTTAACTTGGGTCCAGATAGCGCTGTGTGAAATATCCTGAGATAAAAAAAATATATACATATATAGAAAACGCCTGATAGATTCACCTAAACACACATATTATGTCTTCTCAATAAGTCTTGCAAATAAGTTCTTTATTTGCAAGACTTATACATGGGAAATTTCTAATATAAATCAAGAGATTATGACATTTTAGAAAAGCCAGGAATTAATGATATGGGTTCTGTTTATTCGAGATATCAAATAACGCATTTGGAATTAGTCGCATACCAATCCCCAATTTCATGCTCGACTTGGAGAGTGTTACTGAAATTATGAGATACCAATTCTTCGATGTTATTAGATATTATAGAGATATATAATATTTTCATTTCTGAGAGCTTTAAGGCTGCTTAAGTGGCTTAGACGTAAGTAATAATAACTGATCTGTTAATAAAGATCACGTACTTTACGTTACTAATAAAAAAAAAACAAAACTACCTAAGTACAAACTAATTTCATTGTATAAGGACTAACTTTTTAATACATTTTTATAAAAAAAATTGTAACATTCAAAAATATGCTAAAGAATGTTTAATTATATTATTTATAAATTCATTTTTCGTGTTGTAAATTCATTAAATTATTTTAAATTAAGAGTTTTTCGTCAATAAATTGGGATGTTTTTGTAACATATCAATTTAAATAAAGTGTCATAAAAAACAAATAAATAATATTTTTAAATATTATGTAATTATATTATTAAAAATACAAATTTAAAATAATCATAGATAATGTTATTTTTTTTTATTTGCGTTTCAATTATGAACAACCAATTACTAATAATTTAATTATTATTAAATCAATTACTCAAATAGTTTTTTAATTTACCATAGTGACAACTGACAAATTTGATTGATCGTTAACAGCGAAGAATAAATTTAAGGCAAAAGTGGATATTAAAAATAATTTGTAGAAATAATAGATATATATATATATATATATATATATATATATATATATATATATCTATAATATTATAAATAACTTGATGTGACTTTCTGTCTGAATTAATTTTTTTCTTTTTTGGACTTTAAAAAAATTTGATATAGATCAATTAGATAGCTTGTGTCACGCGAACGGACATAGGCTATTTTAAATCTAAAGTAAACGAAGCTGCGAAAAGCAGCTCGTGTTTAGTTAACACCTTGATACAAAGTCGAGCTTTGTTTCCGCAGATAACAAGAGCGTAGAGAACTTCATTTTATCCAACAAAACTATTAATATGTATGCGCGTTTCAGAAATCTCATTACGTCGTTAATTTAAAAAAATAGTGCGCATTAAACTGCGAGAATATTTTCCTACTCTCCGTCCGTTTTTAGCAGTTATTTTCTGTTATCTTCTACATCGCTGTTTTTCTTTCCCTAAAACCTAATTATGAGTTAATGCCAATTATATAGCCGTGTGCGTTCATCTTTTTAAATAATTAGGAGAGGTAGTCGAAGTACTTTTTATATTCATGATAGACTTTCCACAAAAATAATTGCCTCTACCTTCTTGAAAAGGAGAGTGTTCTATTCAACTTTATCTATATTTATTTATTTTATGATACATAGCAGACATCTTTAAGCATTAGACAACAAGCTTCGTTTATAAAATATTTTATATTGCGTTTAATTTATATCAGACGTTAAAAAGTATCTACCTATTAGTGTTAAAGATAAAAGCCTTTATAAACCTGTCTATCTTGACATATTTATATTGCCCGCTATATAAATTATCTTCAAATTGAAGTAGGCTTTGCTTTCTTTGCTGTATTTATTATTTACCGAAGAAAGGAGGGTAATGTTTTTCTGGTGTAGGTAGTATATTATGAATGTCAGGATATCTGGAGCAGCGCGTAGCCTAAATGGCGGGGATTTTAACGTATGTGGTTTGAATCACTTGAATCTTCTTAAATGTACATATGTTATGGACTATATAAGGAAGTGTAATTTATATATGTTTATCATAAATTATCCTGTCTTAACCCAAAATGCTGTAAATATATCTGCAATTCTGTAATTCATCTTCAAATTACTCTGATGGATGTGTTCATACGAGCCGATAATCACGCGCAGAGTTTTTTTTGCCAATAAAAAATATTTAATTAATAACACATTTTTGCTAATAATGTATCTTATTAGATCAAACTCTATTTAATCGTCGTAGTTGGTTCCTGACGAATATGTTATCCATTGGCATGATTATTTTTCATCGTTTATCACTGGTGCCATGATATTAGCGTATATGCGATCACAAATTTATTAATATTCACCAAAATCACTAAATTTTTTGCTTTATAAAAAAGATAGACTCAGAAAATTTAATAATAAAATAATTTAGAGACAAAACCCTGGAATCGTATCAGTAAAGAAACTAAGGAATTTTCAGAAAAAAAAAATTGTATTGCAATGGGTAAAAATGTAAGATAAATGCAGATGTGTATTTACTGTTATTAATCTAGGCATTTGTGTATATTCATAAAACAAAGGAGTAATGTAAAATGTCAGAAGTATGACGATAAATAGCAGTCATTGGCCGTCTTTCCTGCTGCTCTCTTATGCCCGTGTTTTTATGATGACAGATGGTATGCCTAAAGTCTTTTTTAGGACATATATCAAACATGATATACATCGTTTTATGTGCAAAAATGCTCCGTTTTCTTCGCATTTTCATAGTAAAGTGAATACGCAAGTTTATTCCGTCTCTGTGTCGTACATATTTCTATTTCTATAGAAGAATTAAATGTCTCGTATATATGTATCTGTTTCAGTTTTAAACTGTTCAGTTTAAAACCTAGTGGTTCTACTGGTATTTATTATATATAAGTTTTTTGACCTAAGAACATATGTAGATATATAAAACCAGGAACAATAATGCTCGAAAATGTTTTAAACATAATTTATATGTTACTCTAATCTTTATATATCCGCTCAAAACGAATGATTCATGAAACTGCAAGTGAATTTCCCCAAGTCAAAAAGTTAAGACTGAAATTATTTTTGAAGACTCAACAACTAACTTTTGAATGCAGCGATCATTTGATACATTTATAACATTCTGAAATAGGTATTCTCTACCATTTGATTTGGTAAACGACAAAACCTCTGTACCAACGATATAGTCTAGGTCATTTTTTTAATATTCATAAATAATAATACTGGTGTTGGGAATTATAAGTAAGTTTGCATTGATACTATGGACCTTGAAACTAGCTCAGTTACCAACTCATATAAAAATTGAACTCTTTTGTCATTTCCGTTTACACGTATGCTTGTGCAACAACTTAGCATACCTTTCAAATAATTCACAAAGGCAAAGCACGATCTCAAGTTAGAACTATCAAGACTTCGAATTCGGGTTTTCCTGAGGCTGTTGTATAACTGTCCTCTTCTGTCTCATGGTATATTAAGGCTATACATACTGTTTCCCTTTCTAACTTGGGAAGGCTTGCGCGGAAAGAGAATGTGGGTAACGAACGACCTTTTGCCGTTATGGGCAAGCAGTGCGGCCCGTGCGTTCGCCGGGAGTGGTTCTATCGGTTGCAAATTCACTACATCGCGCCGACCGTCTGACAGACTGAAAAAAAATTACGTAAATATTACGACACTCACGCATTGATTATGAGACGTTTGTAACTATTATCGCAGAGTAGCACTGTTCCCCATTCAAGATATTTGAAAATTTCAGTATACAGTGTGCATGTTGTGCCGTCCGCCTCTTGTTTGAATTGTGTGATCCTGTTTGACCCTGGTGATTTTATTTCATTATTATTGTTTTTTTTACCCCGAACTGTGGTGTTCATTGAATCGACCATCCCTGTGCTTTTGTAGTGATTTATTTTAAATTGGATTGTCACTTGATATATTGGTAAGCAATTTTACTATTTTCTAGTAATCGAAATTTTGATACGTATTCATAAAAATTACAATTGTTTTTACAAATTGGAAATGACCATTAAAACATGTATAAGTAATGTGGACTGGTTTTAATTTTAATAATTCAGAGAAAGCTATACTATTGCATATAAGGTCATAAAAATTGGCATAAAAAATAAAATAAAATTTATAATATTACATTTTTATTTATGAGATATAATACACATAAGTAGGTATTACATCTCATAAATAAATACGGAAATGTCGCACGCATCTAAAATATACATATACAAAATTTATATCAATACTTTACGTAACACAAATTAAGTTAATGTTATAATTATAAAATCAGATATTTCCGACTTAGCTAGCTATTTTGAATACTTGATACATAATTCCTGAGTTATGATGAAGCATTTAAATTGCGAATTTTCTTTTTATTCATTCAGACACTTGTCTATTATTGGTAAGTCTCTGTACCTACTTTAATGTACATATAATCTAAATAATACATTAAAACCTTTTTACCATATCATACACCAACCTCGCAGCCTCAGAGGACGTTACGAAAATACAATACTTTTTTTTGCATTGTCTCTACCTACCCAATGGGAGATAAGCGTGATTTATAAGTGTTTATGCAAATAGTATATTTACGATTGTCCCTTGCTAATAACATATCCATTATTTTTATCCATCTTTGTTAATGTACTTATACACCTTGATTGTTTCTTTTCACATATATATATCTACTTCATTATAATATTTGCATCACATTACATGTTGCCGTGTGCCTGGAACAAGATGGCGTTCTGTATGCCATACAGTGCCATCTAGTCCCAAGCTGAGCAGAGATTGCGTTATGGGTACCGACTAAACAAATAATATACATTTCTTTTTGTAAATACATACATAATATACATAGAAAACATCCAGACCGATACAAATAATTATACTCACCGATACAAATGTTTGCATCGTCCGAGAATCTAACCCGCGACCAGGCGTGACGGTGGCAGAGAAGGTGGTGTAAATTACTAGAGCATCGAGGCCTTTCATTTTTTTTAATCTGTTGTCTTCATATTTTCTATTGTTTTCAGTCGGATGATTAGGTACTGGATCAAAGGATTAAAATTTATTAATAATTATGAATTCATGCCGTAGTTCTTTTTCGCAAATAAGGGACGTACATCGTAGACTCTACTACTCTGACTGTAACAGTTACATTTCAAATGATTTTTCATAACTTTAATCCTGACCTTTGAGTATATGGTTTGAAATATAATATAGACACGATCATCTGGACGACAAATTGAAACTTAACTCTATTTCTAGCAATATTCTCAACCATGCGGAACCCCTGCAATCTGTGAAAATACTGGAATTATAGTTAACTTTTAGTCAATTCGTTACAAAGAGCTTATTGACCTGATTTCATGCTCATTTTCTGATCTGATGCCCTACGTATACGTTAGCACAGAGGGTTGCGTCATTATTTTATCATTAAAAATACTCATACCGTATCATCAGACATAAAAAAACCTTATGGCACAGCGATTTACTAGGGTTAGTAATCGAGCATAGTCTCAAAGATTACTGTCTCGATAATAAAAAAATAAGTATACGTAAATCGACCAAACTATGACGTCATAGACACTGTGCTTTTTTTGTTTATTGTTAGGATATTGTGAAAAGATATTGGTCAATTCTATACCTATCTAACCTATATAAATTTCTATACAATATGTTTTTTTAATTTTATACATCATTAAATTTATTAACAATTTTTCTGGTCCGGCTATATAAATATATACGAGTATATTCTGCATCTGTTCCTTTTATTTTATCTTTTATTATATTTATATTTATCCTTTTATTATATATTTATATATTATTTTGGAGTGAAAGGTATGTTTAGTAGATATAGTTCCATTCTTTGCGTCAGATTTTTGTTTACGATTCAGTTCGAAAATGAGGCAAATAAATTGCAGAGACTAGAAGTACTGAATAAGTATTTTGGTTAAAAGACCAGTTCCTTTCTCTACATTACAATATCAGTATACAAGTATAGATACAGATGATAACCACAGATACTATGGTTAAAGTAACATTACTTGTGGTAACGTACTTACGACGCCGCCTACGCCTTCTGAATTCTCAGTAGTTTTCTCACTATATAAACAAGTATTTCCTTATTATAAAAAGCACGATACGTTGACTTGTAGTTGCTAAATTACCCTTTATTTAATATTAATAATTACTTACATTAAATAAAATGTAAGTAAGTTTGAGTAAACATGCTTACTTGTAATTGATTATCTTATTTATAAGTTCTAGGTTAGATATTTTTGTGAAAAAATTTATTTTGCCGTAACTATTAATTTAGCCATTTATATAATTAGTACAATTTATATAAAGCGGAAAAATATAAAATAAAAGTTTAACAAATATTTCCATAAATACCAGAAATAAACCAAAAGACTATCTTCATTATATCAAAATTTATGAGTAATATTTTAAAGTAGGTATCAATATTATTAATATTTAGATTTAGTTCTAAATATTATTTATACCGACTAAATAATAGCTGTAATTATGTTAGGGTTGAATGTCCTGGCCCGACACTAACCCTGACGTGATTATAACGTCTTAGTACGTCTCTCTGTAATCTCAGCAAATCAGAAAATGTTTTGTTGCGACTGCTTACTGATCTTTCTTTGCTTTTATCGGCAAAGCCTGAGATAGAAAGGGAATTAAAATTAACCTTCTTATTATAAAAAGGTCAAACGTCGTCAAACTAATTAATTGATGAAACAGGTTTAGTTTCATCAATTAAATTGGTTTGTTAAGTAGTAAATATGAAAAGAAAAACGTTTCAAAACAGATTCCATGTTAGAATGGGTTTTTTTATATTCTGTAACCTAATTTTTATGTCCTTTCTTATTATCGCATGTGACAAATACTTAGTTTCTGGCGCAATACTTAAGTAAATTTATCAATTTCAAAGTGAACTTTCGTATTCTTAATTTACTCAACTCTCCTAATATCTAGATATATTGCATGAAGATTTTGATTTGCTTGTTTTGTTTGCTTGAATTTTTTTTATGCAATATCATACAAAATCTTCAGCAGCTAAATATTAATAATATGGGTTATATTTAAATTCGAAAATATGGTCTTACTTACGTTTATTTTGTAGACAGAAAAACATGATTTTCTGTCTATAAAATAAAAAAAATTAGGACCTTATACATATATCCGTTACGATGAAGACGATACGATGCGATTGGACTAGATTCAAAATGTCCTATGATAACTGAAGTGTCATTAGTCTTTAATAAAATTATTATATCTATGGTTATGAATGATATATATGTATATATATCCGTATGTACAATCTGTGCAATGCGCGATCATGGTTATCTCATGTGCTGCCGATTGGCAATTTCATATAACTATTTGCATCGCTCGCATTGATTTCGTTTCTTTCAGACATAAAACATATAGTACGTAAAACAAATTATACCAACTTATATTTTTATTCTATACACTCTATTAAACTAATGTGGTTAGTTGAAGTACGTGATGTCTGCATAGCGCTGATTATATTATACAACTGAAAATCTAAGTAAATATCAAGGTAGGCAAACCAATTTGTAGCTTATTCAATATTCTTGTCAAATAATGTTATCGCGAAATTAATATTTGCTCTATGTATATTAATTAATTTGATATAAAACGTGGGTGTAGGCGGAAGTTAATTTCAAATTATTTTGTATTAGTTGTTTACTGCGAGTTCGTCTGCGTGGATAGATATATTATCCCACCATGTAGGGATTTCTTGAAAGCATATATTTTGTGTCATATTTAATTTATTAAAATACTACTGTTACCTATTTGTTGTCTATCTATAGGATTGTTAAGTCACATTGTGTGTATCGTAACTATTATTATAACATTTTATAAAATATATGACTTATTAAATATAATATTAGAAATCACCACAAAAATGTCATAAATATTCACCAATTTGTACGTATTAAAAATAGAAAATTCTTGTATTTTTTATTTTTTAGTAGAATCAATTTATAAACGAGTTTTAATGCAGTATGCTTCTCTCAATCTGCTCTACTACGACAATTTGCAATTCATTTTCACATCGGAATTACTTTAACAATATCGGTATCGAGTTTCGATTACGAAATTATTGGAAACGAGCGTGAGCATCGATCATGTTTTGTGTAAAACATTCGTTTCGGATTAGTTAAGTCTTGTACTTCTTATTTTATGAAATATAGAGATTGGATTTGTGTTATTTCAACAATTTTAAACAAGAAACTTTAAGGCACTGTAAGAATGTATGTTTATTGATAATAAACATAACACTCTTTTCATCTGTCCTCAAAGAAAATACAGTTACTTAAGCAATGTTATGTTGACAACTGAATCATATAGCGTTTTAATAACGGTGAGGTTCCAAAAAGGGTTGGGTCCATACGACATTGAGTTTGTGATGACACGTGGGAAGAGTTTTGTTTAGTGAATTCTCCAAGTAGATGACTCATAATTAGAAACAGTCGAGGCCACCTGACAGATCCGCCTTTGCTTTGTTGACTGCACATCGATAATCCTAGCGAGTTTTGGGCTTACGTAATTTAAAGCGTTCACAAACTTGTTTTTCTTGAAGACCGATAACAAATCGATATAGACGTCGATTTCAAGCAGACGATGATGTAAAGTTCGCTGTGCCTATTGATGTTTAAAAATATTTATTTATCTGATTAATTGTTCCGATGTGATGTCGAAATCGATGCATCGTTTGCGACTTGTTAGTAGATTTAATTGTCATTGTTGCATTATATGAATGTACAGTCACGAGAAATAGTTTTGATAATTACTTAAAGATTAAGTATGATGTGTTTGGACAGAACTTCCCGACAGCAGAAATTCTTAAAGTGACTTTTGTGAAGTCATCGCGCAATCAAGGAAAAG